AACTACCGTGGGATTAAGTTGATGTGCCATACGATGAAGTTTTGGGAGAGGGTTATCGAGCATCGCCTACGACGAGTGACGAGTGTGACCCAAAACCAATTTGGGTTTATGCCTGGAAGGTCGACCATGGAGGCGATTTTCCTAATACGACAGTTGATGGAGAGATATAGGGACCAAAAGAAGGACTTGCACATGGTCTTTATCGACCTTGAGAAGGCTTATGACAGAGTATCGAGGAATGTCATGTGGTGGGCCATAGAAAAGCATAAAGTCCCATCTAAGTACATTACCCTCATCAAGGATATGTACAAGGATGCGATGACGTGTGTTCGAACATGTGGGGGCGATACCAGCGACTTCCCAGTTAAAATAGGACTACACCAGGGGTCAGCATTGAGCCCTTATTTATTTGCCTTGGTGATGGATGAGGTCACAAGGGACATACAAGGTGATCTCCCTTGGTGTATGCTCTTTGCTGATGATGTGGTGCTAGTTGACGAGAGTAGGGCCGGGGTAAATAGGAAGTTAGAGCTGTGGGAGGACACGTTAGAGTCGAAAGACAGACTTAGTAGGACGAAGACCAAGTACATGACGTGCGATTTCAGCATGGCTACTCATGATGATGGTGATGTTAGCCTTGACGGGCAAGTGGTGGAGACTTTCCGGTATTTAGGATCGATGCTACAAAAGGATGGCGACATTGATGAAGATGTTAGGCATAGAATTGCAGCCGGTTGGTTGAAATGGCGTCAAGCTTCGGGAGTTCTTTGTGATAAGAGGGTGCCACAAAAGCTAAAAAGTAAGTTCTATAGGACGGCGATTCGCCCGGCGATGCTATACGGTGCTGAATGTTGGCCTACAAAAAGGCAACATGTCCAACAACTAAGTGTAGCAGAGATGCGGATGTTGCGTTGGTTTTGCAAGCACACAAGAAGAGATAGAATCCGAAATGAGGATATTCGTGATAGGGTCGGGGTGGCCCCAATTGAGGAGAAATTGGTTCAACATCGGCTGAGGTGGTTCGGACATGTCC